GGTTAACTGACCCAAGCTTGGTCCGAACTCTGCACGTTTCAGAAAAATATTGTAAATGGGGCAAAAGAATGGATGCCGAACTTCTCAAAACTGTTCTCTTTGCTAGCCTCATTGTTGAGGAGCTTCAAGCAGCAGTACTGTGTACCTAAATGTCAGCCAAATCCATTTGTACAGGGACAGATAAAACCTCTAAATAAACCCAACATTGACAGTGAAATATCGGAGTCACTAACCATTTTAATTAACTATTCACATTCATTTAAGACAATATCATTTAAATACTTGTATTATATTAAGCTGTGATTAAAATATTTACTAATGAAAACCATCCATGCCCGTTTTCCGCTGAGCACAGAGCAGCTGGCTTGCTTGGACTTGCAATGAGTCATAAAATACCCTAGGCCACGGAGGATACAGCAGTCCCGTCCTCCAAACGGGCTAAAAGAATGCAGTATGTTTTGGCTACTTAAGACAGAATGTTTAACGGCAAAGAACAGCTTTTTCGGAAGAGGAAAGGAAGAGAAAATGATAATTGGATTGGGACAGAGCTTTTCGAAAGCGCAAACTTGGAAAACTTGGAGACCTCAAACAAAAAGAAGAATGCAAAACTGATGCATACATTTTTGTTTGTTGGTTTTAGTATACAGCAATAAGACATGAAGGGGCTGAATCCCCCTTATGAGAAAATAAAACAAAAAGCATACCGTAGGATGCCGTAGCTGTGCTAAAGCAGAGAAACCTCTAAAACCTGCAGGACTGCGGTCCTCGAGGACCGACTTTGGGGATGCTTGCTCTAGAGGTATACTCACACTTCACTGATTTATATAAAAGTATCAATTTGCCGCCAAAAGGTTGCAGTCTACTAGTTTAGATTAGATTACCGACAATAAAACCTATCTATTTAGACATTTGGTTGCGATATGCTTCTTCCACCAGCTTATATATTGACAGCGCTATACTGTAGCTGAAAGGTCTGAGGCTCCAAGAGAGCAGTTAATGTACAGTGTTATTTTCAAAAGGTCCTCCAGTGGACGGAAAATTCGTTTCTAAAGTTTAATATTTTTTTAAATAAAATATTCAAATTGTATTTCCTTTTTAAAGCTGAAGCAGTGGGTAAATTCGCACAAGATGCACAAATTTTCGAGTTGAGAAAAAAATTAGCATTTTTGTCTAAATAGGCCTACTAAAAGTGACAGCAACTTCTTTTTCCCATAACAGAGTGTCAAAAGTGGGAAATAGAGTTTGGCAGAAATAACTCAGAAAACCATTAATTTAAATATGTATTACGTTTAATAACATTCACAGAAAATTCTGTAATAGCATTCTTGTAAAAGAAAATCTGGCACAACTTTATATACCTCTACCACTCTTTAATGTAATGTACTGAGATGCCCTTAGGCCATTTTGTCTGGCATATTTTTTTTTCCATTTGGACTCCTGGAGTGGGTACAGTTGCACCCTGTTGTGTCCCGCTTGCACAGTACAGCTGACAGAGCTCATTAGAACAGAAGCTCTCATGGTGAACACCAATGCAAATGCAACCACACAGAGCTTGGCTCTCACGCACTAGCACTGTTAAAAAAAGAAGGCAAATCCAGCCTTCTTTGCATTTTGGTATGAAAAGGAGCTGTCATATGTTTGACTTGAAAAGAGGTTATCATTATTTAGAAGGCTAAAAAAGAAGAAGCCTTTCAGACAATTAAACTAAAAAGTCCATATCAGTTGATACACTGAATAAAAACTTAAAACCATTGTATCCCCTCAGTTTCTTTACTATAGTTGTCATTTTTCTATGCGCAGAGGAGCCGGCATTTAAAAATATACTTATGGACTCCATGTAAGCTCATTAACCCCCCCCAAGTATCATCTTCATGTTTCTTAATTTATCCTTGTTAACTGGCTATATAAGGTTTAATAATGGACTAATGTAGGGGATTATTTTCTACCCATATTGTTTGTCAGAATGTTCTTCAAATTTAACAGACTGTCTATGTACCTAAAAATCCAGATAAGATCTACATAGGATGCCATATTTTTTTGTCAGTGTTGGTTTTAATCACCTAATTCAAGTGGAATCTACTGCAATTGAAAAAAACTCTCTTGCTACTCACCTCTAGAGAAGGCATATTTGCTTAGAGGTTTATGGATTAAGACCAACGTTTGAGTTGTACCCCATAAAAACATCTGAGAAAATTTTGCAACAGAGTTAAAATGTGACAATGAACCTGCAGAACTATGTTCTGCCTAAACACACTGCATGGCAACGTAGCATATGTGAAATAATTATCCACCATGAAATCTAAAAAAAGGCTCAGTCAGAATCAATTGTGTTAATTCTGAGAAATATAACACCAAAGTCAAATTTGTGATAAAAATTTGTTGCTTTTTGCAGCCGCAAATAATTGATCCTTCAGTAAGGACTTTTTTAAATTCAGAAGATAGATTCTTGACTCGAGTCCAGAATTTCTGTGTGCACTGATAAAACAGAAGATACTCTTTAAATAGGCTGTGGCTAAATTAATCTATGAATAAAAGAAATAGTAATTTAAGACCTGGAAGGCTTTTAATTGAGTTGAATAACCTGTTTCCCTGAGATTGGCAGACATTTCTAAAGGGTAACACAATTTAATACATATAAGACCTTGTGATTGTGAACTTCTAAAGGTAGTTTAAAAGTCATAATACCCCCCCCCCCCCCCCCCCCTTTATGAGATACCTAATATTTCAGCCAAAAAGAATGAGAACTAATTTACAGCATGTTTGACAAAAGAATCCGTTTTTATTGCCTAAAAAAACTTTGCTATTGCTTCCTAAAATGGCCAGATAAAGAAAAACACATTCAACAATAAGATTTTTCAATATTTTTTTTTTTTTGGAAAAAAATTTTATAGGTAACATTTTCTTTAGATCTTTAATATGTGTTTAATTGTGGCAAATTGTCAGCGGTGTATAGCTTTCTGTTTTAGAAAAAATTATTTGCCAACCAATTTATTTTCCTCTGATCCAACTTTATCTTACAAACTTGGATTTAAGAATCACAAATATGAACAAACTTACTGCAATTAATAAATATCTGACCAACATAGCTACAATCAGAGGCAGGAAATGTATCTAAAAAAAAAACAAACCCAAGTAAGAGTAGAAGATATTTTTACCTACATAAAAAGTAAAAATTTAGCCTTTTAAAAATTACTGAACTGTAAAATAATGTAAGAATAGTTTTGAAAATATCAATATATAGAATTATATATCTATATAGTTACATAAATGTTCAAACAGTTCTCCCCGTGACTGTTTGGTATTGTTTACTGTGTTTCCCCTTCACCTATGTTTAGCCGGATCACGAGACATGAAGAATCGTTGGAAGAATGTAGCTTGAGTAAAAAGAGGAAGTCTCACTTTGTTTTGTTTCTTTCTTTTTAACATGCCTCTTTAACATGCACTGTGTGATTTTGCATGCATTGGGGAGCTTATGTTAAAAAAATAGGTATTTATTTGTCTTGGGTGGGTGTGTGTGAGTTTTCCTTTCACCTGGAGGTGTACATTTATAAGAGCGACAAGAAAAGTAGAAGGACTGAGCAGCAAAGAGCAGATGGACCTGAGGATTTTACAAAAGCTGAATGCAGAAACCCAGGATAAAAGATAAAGCCAAGCTTGTCCTAGCATTATTAGAGCTTGCTGACTTCATCTGTCCCACAGATACCAAGCCAGGCTCAGCATGTGCAGCTCTGTCAAGCCAGGTGTAAGTAATCAAGCTAAATGCAGGTCTGCAGCTTTCTTCAAGAAACCATGATGTCAGTCACACATTTTTTAATGCAGCAAACAACAGTGGATGGACTAAATGTCTAAAGAGCCTAAAATATCTAACTAATTTCTGCTTCTCTCCACTAAAAACATCATAATTTAAGGGGTTCCTTGTCGTTTTTTCCCATATTAACACCTTTTACCTTAAAACTGAACAGAGGAAGCTAAGGTGTGGCGATGTTGCAGGTGATAGATTTATACAACTGCTGCCCTGTTTTACATTCCTGGCAAAAATGCACAGGCCTTTGCAAAGTGTCTTGGGAACCAGTTAGAACACGGTTCATGCTGATCCCTGGGACAGCTGTGGTTCAATTCAGGTGATAAGTAAATTAACTTAACAATGGAAAATTAATGTTCTATTATTCAAAAGGATGTCCTTGGGGGGGATTCAGAAGTAATACAAGCTGAAAAACAGTATTTCAGAGAAACACGTTGCAGTAAACTGGATCTTATCTCTTTCCATCTAAGTAGCCATTTTAAATTTAGGGTTATGGTTTGGTAGGAAATCTTGGATTTTCTTCCTTGAAATTCAGATATTTGATTAGCACAAGATCTAAAAGTAAAAATAATAAGAAATTTAAGCTAAGGGAAAAAAATTGAAAGCATTATCAAGATACATTTCTCAATAAATCAATAATAACCAAAAGATAAGTTATTTTTTAAAATCCATTTTATCAATTTAATGACAGACGACAACAAAAACCCTTAATTTTGAGCCAAATACTTTAAAATGTATGTCAGGAAGGTGAGGCTGAAAAAAAAGGAATGAAAACTTCAAAAGCAAAAGCATGGACTTGTGTTAAAAAGTCTAAGGTCTGAGTCCTTCAGAGGAAAATTGTTTATCTCTAGAGATCTTTTAAAAAGATATGTTTTAACTTAAAAGACAGAGTGGAGTTTTGTTTTTCATAAAAAAAGACAAAGAGATGTTCAAACCCACAGAGCAGCACATTATACCATTTATCTGATATAACAGTTGGAATTGCAGTAAATGTGCAAATCAGCAGAAAATAACACAAAAAAAATGTCCTTATCTAACTGCAGCAAATGCTCTCAAAATGTAAATGACATAGTCTCACTCACATGAATATTCTACATCTACAGTATTTGTCGAAACCGAGTTTCGCAATAAGTCTCAGGCATAACAAGTTAGCCTGTAAAAGAAGGTAAGGATGAAGGGGTGGTGTCACATTTCAGGAGCTCACCAGCCAATCATGAACTGCTTCCTTAAGGTGAGTACACCTGAGTTAAAGAGAGCTTGCACACTGGCAGTTTCTATGATTGCAACAAGTACTGCGACAGAAGAAACAACATACCAGTGGTGTACTGAGGCAACTTTGAACAACAACACCTCCTTTGAATGTAAGTAGATACTTTAGTTAAAGGTTCAGCTAATAATAATAATCAGAAGCGTTTTGTATCTGTGCAGAATCTAAAGGAAAAAGTTAAACGGCTGTGCATATCAATAATTTTTTTTGGGAAAATTACACGTCTTTGTGAAAACAGTAAAGGAGGAATGCAAGTGAACTGAGCACCAACATGCTGCAAAACTTGTCTGACTAATCCATAACCTGAGTGTTTGTGCAAAAAGTGACCTTTGGATCTGGGGGGTAATTAAAGCTCTGCACCTGCAAAGAAAAGCCTCCTTAGCAGAGCACAGCTGGGGCTGCAGTATTAACTTTAAACAGGCTATCTCTCACTAACCAGCTGTCAGAAAGCACACACACATATATTTATATATAGGATGTTGCTAAGATGATTTGCACACTGACAAAAACATTTAGAGATAAAGCCTGAACCAGAAAAGGTGAGGGAAATGTTGGCACTGAATGGCCTGTTTACACACCTGTGCTATGAGCCTGTCAATCTACTCAGAGAGCATTATTAGCCTGTCAAGTTTTCAGATTCATCATCAGAACACAGTGCAAGATGTTCTAAAAACCTAATCCTTTCTATAAACACAGAGTATGTCATTACTGAACTGTGATTGGTGATTATATATTATACCTTTCGTTTTCAAACTGCTCTGTTTTCCAGAAACTAACTTGAAATTACTAAAGAGGTTTAATTGGCATGATGGCAGCAGCTTTAGTTTCCACAGAAAGGGGACATTTTCTGCGCTAAATGAGGTGGCTGTAAAGTCCCTACCCTAAGTGAGAAAAGTTTTTTTTTTTTTTGCCTGCCTTACTTGACCCACTCAGCAGTAAGAGAGCATATCCTGTTTAAGGACTTTGCTGTGAATCATCAGAGCTACATGCGAGCAGCGGTGAGTGAGAGCGTCGATTCTCAGAGCTCAGATAGGAAAACAGATACAATACATGTAGTATGCACCTTCTTTTCCTCTAGATTTGTCTTGTACTCCTAAGGGTAGGCTATTTGAAGCTTTTGTGACCTAATGATTCAGAAAATGTACAACTGGACTCCTTTCTTTGTGCTTTTCTTTTTTGTGCACCTTGTACATATCTCTGTGCATAACACTGTCAACAGCTTACAGGTTTCTCAATATGGGAAATGCTTAGGCTACCTTTTGTGCCTAATTTCACTCTTCCTGTGTGTGTCTGTTATTGCGATGACATCTAATTTGCTTCTGTGTTCATGCATCTTCTTTATCTACACTACTTTCCCCAGAGTTAGGCAAAAAGGAGTAGAGGTTTTGCGTCGACAGAAAAACAAAAAACTTTGTTGCTTTGATGTGGCTGGTTTTTGAGATAAATGATAATTTTTTTTCCTTTTTTTATTTACCTAACCCTTGGTGTGACTGTAAAATAAAAACAGTTTCGTCTTGCTCACATAAAGAAGTGAAAAGAACTACGTGACTGAAATGCTGTATTTCCTTACTCTGAATTTTGATGCTTTTTGCTCACAGTGGAGCATGGAAATACCCACATTTAACAGCAATGTAAAACTCTATTCAGTATTGGCTTTGTGTAATCTTGACAAATTCTCAAATGGAGCAGAGGGAAATATGTTAACGTGTCTCTGTCTGACTGTTAGAGGCACTCAATTCCTTTTATTTATTTCACTACTGCTTGCACTGGCCGTATGCGCCAAAAAGTTGCCCACAAACCTCATAGTTCTTTGGGCTGGTCGTAGCAATTGGTGCACAGCACTGACTGAACTCTGAGTTGTCATTGCTTCACTTTATTTACTGTTGCAGTTGGTGAAGCAAAATATAGAAGGAATGCATTTGCATTAAGCTTGCTTTGATAAATGGCAACGGTTTTAGTTTTGTAGAATTAAGGAAACAGTTCTCTCTTCTAGAAGCATCCACTTCTAAAAAGCTGAATAACAAATGATTTAGAAGGGAACTTTTGTCCTCTGACTGCACTCCTGATTATTGTTGCTCATTCTTTTGGGAATTGACTGTTGATGTTTACCCATATTCATACTCATCCTCTTCTCAATCTTCTTTGCTTTCTTGTGAACCCTATTAAGCACTGAGGCTAATACTGATTTATTTGAAGGAGATGTTTGTGATTGCTACTGCCAGTGACAGTTCTGTGTATAACTAGGTGCTTGTTCTATGTAAGCAGATAAGATAAATGGCCTTTAAGGCTGCTGACTTATTGTTGACCGCTGTGTGAACTTTTAAAAATATTAGTATGGCCTGTTTTGTTTAAAATGAAGCCTTCTGGTTGGATTTAGATATTTCCTGTTTAGCATTACCAGATTGGTGTGGGAGTCATTATTAATTCTATGTTAATGGACTGACTCTTGTCTAGCTCTGAAGCACGATAGTTCCATGATTTGTTGATTTCTTCATTCACTGGTTATTATCCTCCAGCCGGAAAGCAGCTGGCATATCTGCTTTATGAGCATGCTTCTTGTTATTAGATGTCACAAAATAGGTTTTGGTATGAAAGAGAAAATTTGAATGTACAAGAATATATTACCCAATTTGAAGAATAATGCAAGCGTCAGGAGCAATTTGGATGTGGAGGAAGTGGAATGGGTTGATAAATATTTGCAAATTGGATCAGCTTATTATTTCACCCAAGGCGACTCTGAAAAGCAAATTGGATACAGAAGGGGCTTTTATTTGTAGCTTCTTAGATCTGTTGTGTTTGGATTTACTCCGGCTATTCAAGAGGTCCGGGCAGCCCACGTACAGCACTCCCTCTCCAATCAGCCACAGCTGTGTGATTAACGTCTTCCTGCAAATATAATCAAGCAAGATACTTCTTGATGCTTAGGTCTATTTTTAGTAGGAAGATAATCTTGACAACTGGTTTGTACCTGCGTCTGTGCAGCCCTGCAATGTGGATGCAAGAGATAGCCAGTATGAGACTGTCATGCTGTTATAACCTTTAGTGAAAATGCAATAAACTTAAACAAATAAAGCGAAAACCTACCTGTCTAAACTAATTAAATGGCATTTCTTTAAACAGAAAACTATTACTTCACGCGCTAAATTAGTTTTGATCCCATTAAGCTTTTTAATTATCGTTGAGCATATTGCTTTAACATTCCACTTGTTTTAGAGCAAACTTTAGGACAACAGCAGTGAAGGATGCAGGAGTTTTTCCTGCAACAGTAGGGCTGTAACCTCAGCTCTGTGCCAATCAGTTGTTGTGTCCTTGGGCAAGACACTTCACCCACATTGCCTGGTGGCTCCTATGTACAGCAGCCTCTCTTCTGTCAGTGATCCCAAGGGAAGCTGTAGCTAAATGTAACTTGCCACCATCAGCATGTGAATGCCTGGATGTAGTGGATGTGTAGCTTTGGAATGCTTTAAAAGGCACTTTATAAGTATAAGCCATTTACTAAACAAGTTATCGACTGGTTAGTGAGGCTGCCTGATCTAGTTGCTAGCATGCAATAGAAATTTGATTTCTGTCTAAAGAGCAGATTTAAAAGAGCAATACAGTATAGGATTTTTAATTAATTTTTTTTAAGTGATATGTGCAAATATTATCTGTAATAGCTCTTTGTAGTAGTAAGTTTGTGACAAATTGGAGCAGTTTGCTGATTTAAGCAATTTTAACGAACTTGAACTGATCATATTCTAATGTAAGGAAAAAAAATATTTTCTATGTTAATATGCCTATTTCACTTGAGTGGTGCCAACAAACTTAAAGCAGAGACAACCAGAATTTCTCTTATTTTCGAAATATTTCAGAAAAACTGAGGGACATGCTGGTTGCTTCGGATTTAAGTCCCTTTTTTTTGTAGTTGCAATGACCCAGATGACTGAGAATTTTTGTACAGATATACTTGGGTATAGGCATTTATACGTACCACTTTTTGGTTACCAAATAACAGCAAGAAGCAAATTCCCAAATGTTGTTGGACTTTGGCAAATTAAGGTATTACTCATAATTCTATACATCATAGTAATCTTCAAACTCCACCTGCTAAATGGGCTGAGATCCTTCATTTTTTTAATGTAGCGGTTGCATCAGTCATCTTCTTGGTGTATTTGTTGGAGCAGCGATTTATTTTGAGCATGTAGGAAGAAGTTTTAGATAACTTTTTGAAAAAAGACAGATTTGGCAGATTTCAGGATGCCCAAAGGCAGGAGATGGGAGGCAAAGGGACTACCAAAAGTACATCACAGTGGGTTGTCCCTCAGTGCCATGCTTGATGCTGTTGAAGGACTTTAGGTGCACAAACAAGCATAATCACACATCCTTCCTTCCAGCAGCTGTAACATACAACCATCAATGCTTCAAACATGTTAAAAAAGCTTTTTACAGCACTGCTGTTAAATTATTATTTTTTTCCTGTCCTATTTCAGTCTAAAATGTACTAGTATTTTAATAGCTGTATTGGGTTATTATTCTGTAAAACTTTTCCCTTTCTAGCAGCTGATGCAACTGAATTTATCCACTGTGGGACCATAGTGGATTATTGAAAGCCCAACAGCACCTTCTATGAGATTTTAGTAAATTGCTTTAGGAGTGAAAAATAAAATATTTGGGGTTTGGAAACCAGGATCTTTTGAAACTTTGGTAAAAAATTATATGGCAACCAATACAAGGCACACCTTATACATTTAAATTTTGTGTGAACATGATGAAAGTGTATAGCACATTTTGTTGGTGATTATATAACGGTAGGAAATTCCAAAAACATGCCGCCTGAACATTTAATTTCCTTGTCACGGCAGAGAGTCACTTCCTCCTATGTGGTAATGTTAGTAGGTGCCTTGGGATTTGCTGTTGTATCTTACTCTGAGTTGTTTCCCCTTGGTGATTAACAGCTGAGGAAGGAAGGACACAATGGTGCTTATGAACAATGCAAAGGGGCCTATAGTTTAACATGTAGAACAAAGCTCAACAGGAGGGTCCCCTCTTTGTCTACTGTACAACTCGGCAGGAGCCAATGACTTTTGGTTCCTGACATAGTCTGTCTCATGTCAGAACAAAGAAGCTTTATTCCGGATTTAAACTGGAGGAGAGGTTATTCTCATTTTCCCATATTAAAAATATCAACATCCATATTGTGTTGGAAACAGCTGGGGTTTTTGTTCAACCAGCTGTGAACATGTGGGTTTTACATCTATGCTCTGTAACAGGGAAGTGAGTTGTGAGATTTATTTTTTTAGAATGAAATAAAGACTCATGCACACCAAACAATAACAGGCATTCCCCTAAAATTATGTATGATAGTATATGATGATGAATTTAATACATTAGACAGGTTAAAATAACATTTCCAAACTTGTTCATATTTATTTTTTTTGTAAACTGCTTTTTCATGGGGATTACCTACATGCAACAAATACAATGCTTATTTATTTTGTCAGTCTTGTAGATCTTCCTGGAAACATTGTGCAATAGATATGTCACCCTTGCTTTACATAGGGGGGGAAATGTTGAGCATGCATTTACTGCCAGCTTGTTTTGACAGAAGCTTTTGTACCGTTTTTCTTTTAATGCTGATCGCAGTGGGAATCAATTTTTTCAGTCTCAGCCATCATACAGCTCAGATTACAATCTAGATTTGCATGTGCACTTTTTAAACCAGTTAAAAAAGCACACGGGCAGGTTTTGCTCTAAATTTGTATTTTTCCGCTAACATGCAACTCTGCAGTGTTTGAAACTCAGAAATACCAGCGGGGTACCAATACTGCTGTCTGCTTTCCAACACTTTCTGTCTCCACACAAGAACCCCAAGATTTTACCCACATCAGTGACTGCATATTAATAGAAGATATTTTTAACTTTATCTCTTTTTTTTTTTTTTTTTTCCTTGTTCTCCCTGCAGCATTTGAAGATGATGCGATTGCTGTTTCTCTGTGCACTGCTACTGCTGCCAGCTGCCATCGGTATGTTCTCATCTCTGATACGTTTTCAGGTGATAAACATTTAATCAGGGGCCCAGGCATCCATGTGCCAGACTTTTTTTTTTTTTTTCCTTCAATCTGCCTACATGCATTTGCTATCTTGTGCCGTGTGCGACAGAATTATCACATTCTACTGGATTCTGCTGGATTTCGCAACTGCCTCAAAACGTTGACAGAACTTGTTCACCTGAAAGCAAAAGAAAAACATTGAAAGAAAAATACAAAGAAATAAAATTGGCAACAAGCCATGTTTTTAATTTTCTTTGGAGCAAACCAAAGTAACAAACAGAAAATCTGTCAATGGGCAAAATGGCCTTATGTACAGTTGTGCAATATTTAAAGTGTTTTTCATATTAAACAGCAAATTTCAGTATCATTTGTTAGGATTCTATATGACAATTCAGTGTTTTCAAATGGATAAAACTGTTCAGTTTTAAAGACATTTATATTACTTTAACTTATATTTATCATATATATAAGTTATACTTAATATAATATAATTTTCCAAAAAAACCTCAACTGTGGGCTTACATTTCTTTCCAATTACTTTTATTATTACACCTCTAAATTATACAATGTGAACTCATTTACCTTCCACATTCTTACATAAAGTTCTTGGTTGTCTATCTTAGTTAAAATATTAAGCAAGGAGAACATTTATCAAAGAACATGTCTTTCCTCCCATCACATAAAATACCAGCAAATGGTCATGCTGTGGGTTTCTTTCTTCAGTAGGCTTGAATATTGGTTGGAATTGAAGGGAATCTGTAAAGGGCTTAATACCCCAAACCATGCCAAGAAACCTTATTGTGGTTTAAAATCCAAAGTCAAAATCCACTCCTAAATTTAATTAATTTAGCACAAAAATCAAATGCCTGGTCATGAAAACACCCATCTAGTCTAACTTATATCAATTGAGTTTTTCTTTATTATTCACAAATATTTCAGTCTACAGATTGGCAAAGTGTGTCAAGACCACAGAAGACTTTCTATTTTTTAAAGCATTGCAAGGCTCTTGCATAGGATTAACAAATATAAAGCTTACTTTTCAGATGAGAGTGAACGCGGAGCTTCTTTCGTTTACTTCACAATTTATACATTTCTTTTAAGAAAATAAATCCTAGATTATTGGTAATAATTTCAAGGACAATCTAAACTATTGTAATGCACTGTACTCTAATTGGTAGAAGAAATGTTTTAATATAGCAATTGATATTCTTTTTATTTTGCAGTTCTTTCAGAGGATTTTGAAGGATCAGCTGATGGTATGTAGTCCACATTTCAGTGAATCTGAAAAGGAAAAAAAAAAAATTATAAAAAAAACAATAAAAAATCTGCATGTTTTATGGTTCCCTGGTAAATGGCAACAGTTTATTTGACCATATCAACTCAGAGATTGAAATTTCTTTTATTTTTAAAAGCATTTACTTCAGATCACGCCTATGTAAAGCTGCACCAAATAGTACTCCCTCATTTGTTTTGAAAAGAATTATGTGTTTTATTTTAAATAAGCATGCCATATGCGTCAATATTTCTAGTGCCCTGTTATTCAAAGCCAACCGATTATTTTTAATAGCTGGATTGTGCTGCCACATACTCATCTGAGTATGACCAGATGAAAGATGTATAATTTCTTTCACTGTGTTCATGTAATTGAGCAGGTTTGAGCCTCCACCTTTGATGGCTTACCTAAAATCTAAACATCACACAAATGCTCTTCTTTTCTTTTGTCTTGTATGTCATATTTGTGTTGAAAAGCTGCTCATTACTGCTGAGCAAACGAGAGTAGACGCCATGAAGGCAGTTTATTGCGCAATTTGTTGGATGTGCTGCAACATGATGGAAAAACTAAAGAAATTGGTGCCTTAAGTCCTTTTAAATTAAGTCAAACTACACGTTTTAGTCAAACTATACATCTACATATTTTATTTATAAGTGTGTGTGTGTGTGTGTATATATATATATATATATATATATACACACACACACACATTAGTGCTTTTAGACTGTTGATTTTACTAAAGGAAACAAAAGTGAGAAGAATAAAATGCACTTTTTTTTTTGCCTTTGTTTTGATTCACTGCATAATAAATTAAACATTCATTAAGATGCTTACATCAGAGATAAAAAAATATTCTATTGAAATTGCATTCAAATATTTCCTTGCATCACATACAACTTGGTAATCTCTTACTAGTGAATGTTTTACTCATGTTTAGACTGAAAGTTTTGCTTTTTTTTTTTTTTTAAAGAAGTTTGTAATAGAATGAAGAGGAGTGATGAGGTACTCTGAGCATAATCTTAAAGAGTGCATTATTCTCATCCATCTCCTCATTCCTACATGCTTAAACAAAGTGAAGAACAGAAGGTGCATCATTCTATGTGACTTTCATCTACAGCCCCGACCTCACTTTTAATGAGATTTCTTCCTTATTTATAGTTCTCCCAGTTTCAGTCGTTTTTTTTTTTTAATGCTTTGCATTTTTTAATTTCACCCTTATTTTCTTTTTTTATTTATTCCAGATTCAGACGATGAGGATATGGTTCAAAGCAGAAGTGAGTTCATTTTTCTCCTCCCTGTACCAACAGGAGGTTTGATTCTTGAATTGTTAGATTTTCTTCTGACCACAACCACTGTAATGGCAGCTGCCCAGAGGAGTATGTGAGGGTTATGGCCTGTAATTACTGTCAGTAGGTCAGCATTGTGCATAGGGTGTTCCAGTCCACTGAGATGTGCAGAGGGTCTGTGGCCCCTGTTGGCATTTACCCCTCTCTAACCATTAAGCCATGAATGGAATCAATTAGCTCTCCAGAGAGGCCCTGTGGATCCTGCTGAAAGGCCAATGAGCACACTGATATCTCTGCTGCCCTGTCGGTCACCTAATCAACATTGACATTCTCATTCCCTACACACCCCTTTCTGTCACTCCTCATCCAGACTTTGATGGGCATTTGATAGAATTACACACCCTTATAGCAGAGTTACCAGCCTGCAGCCTGTCTGCCTGCTGCTGTAAAGGCAGCTTTTCAGCATATGATCACAACCCCCATGGAAGCCTGAACCTTTTTTCTATCTGTAGGATATACGAGCATAAGCTCAGACTCAAACTCTATGCCTCTAACTTAATACAAGTCCAAATAATAATGAATGATTTAACTATAGACTGTTTTTGTATAAAAGAAGCAACGCGTAAGGTTAGAGGGGGAAAAAATTTGACTTTTGTTTTGTGCCTCTTAGATATGGATTTTGTTGGAGGCGCTCCACCTGAAAATGACAACCCACAGGAAAGTAAGTAAAGCATTTGTTCTTTAATTATTGTCCTAATGTTGCTTCATACCTTAAGTATAAAGAACTATAATACAAGCAAAGTTGATTTTTGTACAAAGGTAAATAAAAAAAAAAAAATGTAACAATGGTTTACCCATCTTGAAATGCATTTTTTTTTTTTTATTTGACGTGAGATATATTTAAAAATTGATGCCAGAATTGCATTTAATTTATTTTAAATATAATTGTATTTGCTAGTTTGATATCCAGGCTTGGACAGGGCAAGGAAACCCTGTGAGAATAAGGGGCAAAAATAATTAAGCTAAATAAATGTTTGCATGTTTGCTTAGAAAAATCTAAGACCAAGATGTGCAGTTCATCGTCTTTAGACATCCTGCACAGATAATATCATCAGCATGGAATTTGGAGAATTCTCTGTGCAGACTTAAAGTGTGATTTCCAAGCCCCAGAATTTTTACTTTGCAATTATTTAGGAATATGTCTACCAATGATTCCCCTTGAACAAATTAGAGTGGCATCCAAAACCTACCTGTAAAGGAAGCTATAAATTTAGTTAAGAGGGCCTCTGCCCTCTTTGGACCCAAAGCTCAAATCAAATTGGGGAAATGTGATTTCTGGTCAGACAAGAAAAAAAAACCCTGCTTCTGTTTCCATCGAGTAAAGATGATGGTAACCTCAATGTTCAGTATAAAGCAACAAGAAAATAGCATCCCTGATTGAATAGAAATGAATATGCAGGGTTGATCAATGCAAAAATGTCTAGAACTATGCATTCTTCCCTCTAATCTGTCCTTTATTAATATCATGTCAAGGTAATGTTGTCTTCATTATAACAAGGTTTTAATAGGAGAATCTGGGTTCTGAACTAGGCTGTCTCAAGTTCACTTTTCTCACCAACTATATTGTGGTGAATTCTAGCAAAAAATATCCTATACTGAACAACCAGAAAGGAAAATCACTCAACAAATGGAAAACTTCATCTTCAAAAACCCCAGAAATGGTTCCCCTTAAATCCCAGGTGATATGTCCTGTCTTACAAAAAGGGAAGTCTCAGTAGTCAAAATAGCAAGCATAGCATAACAAAGATTGTAAAACATGAAGACAAATAGGAAAATTCAAAATTTTGTCGGGGTTCAAACAGTATATTGTAAGAATAACTTGGCTTGTTTTGTTTTTTGTTGTATGGCATGCAATAAATAGGTGTTGGTGAAATTTTTAAATGTACAATCTTTATCTGTTAGGCGTTGGACATTTTTTTAATTCAATATTGTCATTTTTCTAAGTCTCTTTGTGAAGAAAATACAATTCTGAGTTTGAAAATTTATTTGTGCAGTTACTACATATATATGTGTTCACTTTTTTTATTGAGCTGACTCTTTGTGCAGGACTTCAAATATGTTTGTTTCTTCTATTTTTGTAGGTCAAATGACTCTGATCATCATAGCTGTTCTGGGTACGGCGGTGGCTCTTTCAGTCATAGCAATAGGAGGTAAGCGGCCTTTGTTTTGTTAAGAGTGAAATGGGAACATTCCCACAGTTGACAGATGTATTGCCTTTCAGCACTTGCCTGGAATCACTGTGCTCCTTGTGTGCCTTGTAAAGCTGTTGCCACCTAAATAAATATCAACTTTTCTCTGACTGAACCATGACCTTTCACCCCCTCCCCTCCTTTTTTTTATTTCCCTATTTGCAGCTGTATTCTTGATGAAACGGCAAAAGCTCAAACAACAGCAAGGGTAAGATCAATTTACCTTTTATTCCAATTTATTCATTGTTTTCTACTCGCATGAAGCAACACTGGTTTTGGTTTTTGGGTGAACTTCATGCTAAGTCAGCTTCAGAGTGACAAAACCTGTCTGTTGGGTAACAGCCACGCTACTGCTTTTACGTTGTGCTACACTTGGTCTGCATTGTCAACATCCAAAAAACCACGAAGAACAGTCATGCATGATCGCACCATCTGCATCCACCTACTTCAGCCCGTCTGGACTTGTACAACAATTAGTGTTGCAGCTTGTGCCCTCTAAAGACCGGGGTTAAAAACTCCCCACCTATCTGTCAAACAATGGCTCTCAGCCGGTGGCACTGGTAAGGTATGAGCTATCATGACAGGACCCAACCTGTCCCAAAGCTTACCTCACACTCTTAGTCACAAGGAGACAACTGTACAGAATAAATAAACCCAGTAAACAAAGTTTTGACAGCAGTCAGTGGAAATCTTACAGCAAAACAACCTAAACCAGTTTTGCAAAATGTTGCTCCAAGTTTTTGGCTGCTGCTTAACTGTCATTTTCAATTTTAAGTTCTTGCAGACTGAATTTTATTTGTTTGTCTGGTGACATATAAAATGCATGACTCTGGTCACAGGGGTTGTAGAGTTCAAATTCAGACAACAGGAGAACATCCATTACAGTAATGACACTAAATTCGATTAGCATGCTAGGGTTAAATTCCTGTGCAGGATTAGTGGCTGCCTCGAGGAGCTGCAGCCCGCTCAAGCTGTGTTTGGTGCTGAATGATTGCTCCATTGAAAGGAGGCTTAATCATGCAGCAACCTCTGGTTTGTTGGATCAACAGTTTTCAGCCTCTTTTATAAGTCTCACCTGGGGGATGAGCTGTGTTGTTTAGGTTATGCAGCAACCATTTTGAGGTTGGAATCCCTGCAATATGAGGCACCAGTGCAGTTTTCAGTGTTCAGATCAGTCATTCATTTTGAAACTTCTTTTTAATTCTACTTTATAATGGAATAGAAAAAATGTGTACTTTATAAAGCATCTCAATAAATTACAATATCATAGAAAAACTAATTTTATTTAATCAAAAAAGTCAACTTCTTTGAAATCTGCACTGTGGGATCTGGGGTCATCTTCATAGATTTTCCATGGAGTTCAGGTCAGGTGGGTTAACTGACTCATTCTTGGGTAAGACATGATTTAGAAACAAAAAATGAAATCCTTTGTCAATTTCTCCACCGAACCCCAGTTGTGAAACTTCTGCTTCAGTCATCGATGGCTCACTTCACTTGAAAGGTTGGGTTTTCACCAAGCCTGACTTCAGCCACATATAAACATATTGAACTTTTAAGCTGAAGCTCATAAATGGTCCAAATGCAAATGATTTTTTAATGATGACAAATATGAGAAATGTTGAGATATAGCAGGGGCTGTTAGCCAAATTAAAAAAAGAATTGTATGTACCTGTCTCATGTGTTTGAGAAGGGGGGGGGGGGGGGTACTTGCCATATAAAACAATCTCTTAAATAATTCAAAAAAGGGGGGGGGGGGGGAATGTAGGTAAATTATATATGAACTTATTTTAGTCCATGAAGTACCTGACTAACTTATGAATTTATTGAAATCATACAAATGGTTAGAGTTTTTTGAACAAGTACAATAGTAATTGATTTTTGAAATTGCTGTTTCAGTTAAATTTCTTCCAAACCTGTTTATCAGACTTTAGGCAATATTGTCTGACCAAAGTATACAATGTCTTTTGAGATGTATAAAGTCTTTTTTTGTTCACTATACAGTAGATATTGGCCTCTATTGATGCTTCATGCAGACTGCAGTTCTTTAAAACTCACCTTTGGTAACTTGAGAGGGTTGGGTCCGTCACTGAATGAGTCATTTGTCCCAGAGCGCCTCTTTATGACTGCCTGAGCCCTACGTAAACACGAGCAGCTAAATGCAGCTGCTAAGTTGAATCTATAGTTTTGTGGGGAATCGCACAGAATAATAGACTGTCCAAATTGTAACGTTATCTGTTTCTGACATCTATTGCTGTGTCTGTTTCAACCGCCGTCAGTCACAATTCTGAGAGTTTCCACAAAAGTTTCAAGCTCTGTTTGCTTGAATAGATCTGAACTCCTGTAGTCTGTGATCTAACTGTGGGTGCAGTTAGGTGTTTGATCCCCAGCTTTTCTTTTTTAAGACAAAAAATAGTTTGAGAAAATCGCACTGTGTGGTTGCTCTTTTAGCATGGCAACTAGCCACATATGCTTTGTCTATCTTCCTTAAACTGTTGCTCTTAAAAGTTGCGGTTATGCACCTCTTTTTCCATTCACATACTTAGAAGATAATGATCTGAACCGCCGGCTTACTAAAAATGATGTTTGTGGTCACCCTCCATTAAGGAAGGTGCCAGTAAGTGACTGATGGACAGCTATAGTCAGTAATCCTTCCCATGATTGGAGAACACTTCTACTGTTTTTTTTTGTTTTTCTTTATCTTGAGGTTAGGCTTGATTATCTTTCACCCTGAGTCATCTAGATAAACAGGAAAACAAAATGTGTAATGTTTCTATTAATCTAAAAGTTTCAATTGCTGAATTGAATTAAACTACCTTTTAAATGATATTCAAGTTTATTTTGCCCTGTGTCAAGTAATTATGCTTGCTGTGTCCCATTTACAGGATTTACTCCGTACCCACTGAACAGAACCAGAAAGAAACCATATAATTCCCGACAGCACAGCAGTTCTGCACCAAATAGCCAAGTGAGGAGAACAGGCTGTTTTCTCCAACACTGACTCAGGACATTTGAACACATTTGCACGTTGGCTTGCTTTTCACTGCCCAGTCTCTCACGTCCTCATAAGCCTATCTAACCTATGCAGTATGACTTCTCTTCACACTGTTGTGCCATGTTTTCTCTGTCTCCCAGCTGTTTGTTCTCCATTTAGCCAGGGATTTTTTGGAACACATTCAAACCTTTTTAATTGGATGTTGTTTGAAGAATCCAAATTAGAGCAGAGAATGTGGCTTGCAGCTTCTTTGTGTTAAAATTATTAATCTAGCATAGCTAAAGCTTTTTTTTTTTTTTTAGAAGCATAAATAGATTGACCATTTAAGCAGAAAAACTGTAATTGTGTTTTGACTTGGTGCGTGTGGAGCAAACCCGCCTCTCAAATGATCGTTGACTGTGACAAACCATGCTAATCCGCACTAAGCCAGCAGAATGCTCACTTATTTACTTATTTACCTTTACTGAAAGGCAAAACCAGCTCTTCATCTTTTTTTCAGCTGTGTCAAATAAAAATAAGTGGATACACAAGTTAAGCACACCTTGCAGCTAAGATGCTAAATAATCAGCCAATATGAATGATGTTTTTGTTTGTTCTACTTTTTTTTTTTTGTGTAAAAAATCTGTTATTCTTGTGCGTTGTAAATAACTTTCAGGAACCTGCTCAGTGTTAGAGCAATGCATCTAGCACTGAAGGCAGAAGGCTCAGTAAGAGGGAGGGGGGAATAATACAGTTGAGTTGAGATGGCTGGGGAATTGCAACCAATGTTTTTATTTTTTTTAATAATAGAGGGTGCTGGTTTCACTCACATGACACCAATCACACTATGTGCAGGAAAGCTTTCTAAACATAGATTTAAAACTGAAGGCCTATGTCAGAAAATGTTTCAGGTAGAGTGGGATAACTCCCAGCTTTCAGAAACCTGATGTGTTGAAGCAAAATCTTCTTTCCACTAAATCTTGACAAGAAACACAGCTTGGCTCACGAGATGTGCAGTTTCTGCTTTCAGGCATCAGCTTAAATAAACCCATACTTATAAATTAGTACCGGGCAAATTATCTGACTTTAAACAGTTTATATTTGATCGTATCGTAGTGATCTATTTCTGATTGCAGCCTTAATGTGTCAGCATTTCATATATAAACTAGAGTAAAGAACATTTCATTTTTTTCCCTCTGCATGAATTATTCTGTTTCCTGGTTTTATTTCATTATATTATTTGAAGGTATTTCTTTTTTTCTTCTTCTCCAAATTGCAGAAAAGAGTTTCTGTACACATGCATCTGCATGCCTTGCTGATATTCCCTCTTTGGAGAGCTGCCCTGTTGTGACACTACTGTTTAACATAATGCAATACATGTAGCATTTAAGCTTTTGTCGCTATTATTCAAGTGGGAATCTCAGTCATTTAAACTGTTAGTCTGTTATGCATTTAATCTAACCCATTATGGTTGTTGCTGCAGTTTATCTAGGAAAAAAGTTTTAAACACCTTTTAATGTTTGTAACCCATTTTGCAGTCATGTTAGAAATCATTGGTTAATGCAAATTTGAGAAGTGCTTAAGTATTCAGCGATAAAAGCATGGAGGTCATGAGTGAAGTTTAAGTAGAATATATTTACTAAGTAAAACTTGTATTTTTCAAAGTAATAAAAATGGCTTAAGGGTTATCTTTTGTGAGGAATTCTGATGATTGCAAAAGTCTGTAAAATATGTATTCATGTTTTATTATAGCAATAAGTTTAAATCAGCGCTGCACTTTTTTATATGTATTTCTATGCCAAAGACATTTAATGAGGTATTCATGTAATTTTCAGAACTAGTAATTGATGTGTTAATATCTTCCAAAAATACCATCACCAATTTGCACAGACAAAGACACCTTTTATTAGTTCTAATGGCGATTAGAATGGGGAAAATTATGTAAATATATAAATCTATGGTGGGATTTTTGTCCATATTTTGACATTAAATGTGCTATAAAACTTAATCTGTTGTTTGTGTAATTGAAATACCATATGCATGCAATGATATTGTGCCAGTGATTGTTTATAATAAGACTTTTCTCATATAACATACATACTTTTTTTAAAGTTCAGCTTAAAAAAAATTTTTTTTTAATTTTATTTTCATGTGTCCGCTTCATTCATAATTCTCATGTGTAAAGAGTAGTTGCGATTCTTAAGTCTGTAAATGTGTTTATTGCTTTTGACTTTTAGTTATAAACGTTTTCAAAACAACATACCACTAGAATAAGTCTAGTTTTATAACAGCTTCTATAAACTAAAATGGAGCTTTTATTTTATTAAAAATTAAATTACATTCCAGTGCAGTTTTGTTTTACAGAGGCAACAGGTTCCAGTTTTTCCACTTATCAGTTTGCATCAAGATTTGTTTACTCAAACTCCCACGACGGTAACCAAGCAGCACGTTGTCTGTCTCTCCACGCACAAACATGTTGCCAGGTGTTAGCAGAGTATTTTTCCCCCGAATGCACAGAGATCTGCGTAATTTCTTGAACCTTTCCATGGCTGCCAATGTTTGCACGTTTGCTTATCCTTGGACCACACGATATGACCTGAAATGAAAAACAAATAATCGCTGAAAATGCTGTTCACAGCAACTGCTGACATTTGAGTTAAAGAAATACGATATGCAGTGGCTAAGTCATTGTGTTTTGGCCTCTGAACAGTTGATTAGAACCTTTTGATACATAAATCATTACAGAGATATCCGCTGGATTCTTGTGGGCTGTTATTTAGAATGCAGGTCTGTAATATCGTTATATCATGTGAATAACTTTGTGGGTATTAATTAAATCCTCCAATTACTAAATCCTCTTATGTGAGAAGTAGTCCTGATCTGGTTATGCCTTTACCAAGGTTATGCAAAGGTGGTGTTTTAAATGTGCTAAAAAAAGTAATCCATCGTTCCATTCCCACGGTTTGCAGTTAATTTAACAAACATAACTTTTTATTTGGTCAACCTTTTGTACCGTTATTATTTTTTTTCTGTTGAAACTTTGGATTGTTTTATTGGAGTCTAAACCTACTAATGTTTCTTTCTTTCGCTTAACATGAGGTGAACATCGTTTTACAAGATTTGATGTTATAGAAGTTGGAATTTGTTAAAAGCTCTTGCTCCATTTTCTTTACCAATAGTTGAATGAAATGAGCCATATTTTAGAAGGGTTGAGTATTGACTTTTTTTTTTTTTTTTTTTTTTTTTAAATACAAAAAAAAAAGCGCTTATAAATCCAACTCCATTTTGCTCTTTTTTTGTATTTATTTATTTTTATCTGGTATTAGTGTGGTCCTTTGATATTTTTCAACCTCTATTTTTAAACTACCCTTAGTAAACAGAACACCTGAAAGTGCTACTCTCCTCTTCTGGTCTGATACTTATGAGATTTTTTGCTTGTTGCTTGTCCTCTAAGATGGGTCATGAGTTTCAGTGACGTCACAGTTGTAATGTTACTGAAACCACATTATAAAAAAAAAAAAAAAAGACAGTCAATACCAAACATAGAGTAGCCTGTAAACACTCTTTACTTATACTACTTTAAAAAAAAAAAAGTGTGAAGTGCTTAGGTGTGTCTACAGGTTCTGTGCAAGGGCAAACATTTCCACTATTTGAGTTTTTTTTTTGTCTTGAAGTGCAAATTTAACATGTAAGACAGAAGCCCTAGACTGAATTTGGCCACCACAGTTTTAGAGACTTGCATGACGTTGCATAGATATGAGGAACTCAGGGCAGATATTATTTGTAGTGAGTCATGAGTTGTTGCCATGTGGCCAAGTTGTTCAATAAGATGAATTCTCAAATCAGAGTTACAGTTTTTCTGTGGTAATAGATTCAACCTTAAACCTCTATTCCATAGTGAAATAAGAAATGATAATCAAAATAGCTGTTATTTTTATGGCATTTTTATGTTGAGGTTTAGCATTTGTAGCAGTGTTTCAATGCATCAATACAAGTGGTGGTTTCTGAAAGTTACAATGTTCTTTAATATTACAATGAAAATTCTACAGAAATGTATTAATTTTAGAACATTTACTTTTTAATCCATGTACTTTTGAGTAAGATTGACTTTGAGTAAGATTTGACTGTGAGTATCAACTTTAACTCAAGTACTACTGTTGAGTACTTCATTTCTGCATTTCTTAAGGCGTTAACTAGCCTGGTAAGACAGAATAATATGACATATATGCAATGTAGTCTGATAAAGAGCTACTACTGCTCCATTTGGAAGGTGGTACTAGCAGGGTCAGTGTCATCAGGTTAGAACCAATCAGACAACTACAGATGTGACAAAAAAAAAAAAAAAAAAACACTGTTTTTGATCATTTCTTTTTGTCATGACAAGCTATCAAAGAAACGCTCCAGTGAATAATTAGGCCCGAGCAGCTCACCGCTGCGAGAGCCTATTGTTCCTGTATCGTTTATTAGGCCCGAGCAGCTCACCGCTGCGAGAGCCTATTGTTCCTGTACCGTTTGTTATTATTATTCTTCCGCCGCTTATTATTTTTCTCCGCGCAAAAGAAGCGGCTTTTTGGAGGCTTTAACATGCCCAAAAACTCACCAAACTTGGCAGTAAATTGTCCCCCTAGTGAAATTTACGTACGATAATGGAATTCAAAATGGGCGTGGCCAAACGCCTCTACAGCGCCCCCTAACATGAGTTGGGGAAAACCGTAATCACAGAGATTTGAGATTTGGCAGGTGCATAGATCTCACCAAATCATGAAAAAAGTTTCATTAGGGGATGCTCTAAAACCCCACAGAAGTCGGCCATTTTTGGGGTCTAGGCCATTTTTTGGGACTTTTTTTAATTTTTTTTGACCC